AAAGGAATAACATAAACATCTGGGTTTATTTATTTATATAGTCAGAGGGCTATCATTTAGTAAAAATCACTTGGGGAGTCAGTGTGGAGAATGTATTGGAGTGAAGATAGATTTGAAGGAAGAGGGCAATTATGAGACAGTTACAAATTAGAGACGATGAAGCTGCAAAGATTTCTACCCCCCACCCTGAAACTACCAGTTTTCTGCTTTCCTTCTAACGTTAACTACAGTAGTTTTGTTCAGAAGCTGTTTAAATTTTATGTAATCAAAATTATCCATTGTACTGCCTGTGAATCTCTATATCTCATTTGGTCATAAATTTTTCCCCATCCATAAATTTCTCAGGTAAATTTCCTCAGTCTTCATTAATTTGCTTATGATATTACTGTTTGCTGTTTAGTCTTCTCTCCCCCCCCCCCAAATTGTGTCCAACTCTTCATGACCCATTTGGGATTTTTTTGGTTTCCCATTTCCTTTTCCAGCTTATTTTGTAAATAAGGAAGCTGATGCAGAAAGGGTGAAGTGACTTACACAGCTAAGTGTAAGTGTCTGAGGCCAGGTTTGAACTCAGGAAGATGAGTCCTGACCCAGTGCTCTGTGTACTGTGTGCAATTAGCTGCCTTGTGTTTTGGAACATCAACATTCTTTTCCAGGCAGCCCTTCACACTTTCTTCCCTTTCAGTTCCTCTTTGTTTGTTGTCTTCTCTTATTAGAATGTATACTCCTGTAGGCCAAGGACTGTCTTTCTGTTTATATTTCTGGCACTTAGTACATAGTAAGCCTTAATAAATGCTTGTTAATTGACTAAGATGGGGAAATTAGGGAATTGTTGACTTTAATGCATATTTGGTCATGGTAGGAGAATTTCTGGCATTATTTTCTTTTTTGGTGAGGCAATTGGGGTTAAGTGACTTGCCCAGGGTCACACAGCTTGTAAGTATAAAGTGTCTGTGGTTGGATTTGAACTCAGGACCTCCTGATTCCAAGGCTGTGCCACCTAGCTGCCCCACGGCATTACTTTCTTATAGCCATTTATGAGCAGTTTGCATAACTAATATACTGTTTTACCTGTTATCAGAGATAATTTTCCCCTTCTGCCATCTATTTTTTGATGTTTAAATACTTACCTTCCCTTTTTGCTTTCTCTAAGACTCCCTTTAATCCATCCTGTGTTTGTAAACTAAAGTTTATATAAGGTTGTTGAAACTGGATTCATTGATTTTTATATACAGAAAGTGGCTAGAGCATAACAAGCAGGTTTTTGTTATATCTATGTGATGTTGATTATTATTGGCAGCAGTCCGTATCAGCAGATCTTTGGAAAACTATTGTGACATGAACATAACTAAGGATGGGGGGAAAAAGTTAGAAAACATGGGTCAGGGGTAGGAAATGAAAAAGATCAAAGACTGCTACATAATACAGAAGTTTTCTACCTGTTATGGTGGAATCAATAACCTAAACCCTTCTTGCAGCAGGCGACGGTATTTTTTCTTTTTTCTTTCTTTCTTTTTTTGGATAGGCAGTGGGATTAAGTGACTTGCCCAAGGTCACACAGCTAGTAAGTGTCAAGTGTCTGAGGTCATATTTGAACTCAGGTCCTCCTGACTCCTGGGCTGGTGCTCTATCCACTGTGCCACCTAGCTGCCCCTGAGGCTTTTTTTTCTTTTAAAGATACTGAAACCTTTGTGAAGACTTCATTGATGCTACAATCAGAGGTCTTAGTTAATCACTTCCTTTTTGCCTGAGTAACCAGGCTATTGCTAAGTAATACCTCTTCTTTTTAAAAAATTCTTTAGCAATTTATTAATTTTTAGTTTTCAACATTCACTTCCATAAGATTTTGAATTTTAAATTCTCTCTCTCCCTCTCCCCCTCCACCAAGATGATGTGCAATCAGATATAGGCTTGCAAGCTTATAGAGGCTCTACTTATACATTCATATTAAGCCTATTTTCACATTAGTCATGATGTAAAGAAGACTTAGAACTAAGGGGAAACCAGGAGAAAGAAGAAACAAAACAACAAAAGAAAAGGAGAGCAGATAGTCTGCTTCCATCTGCATTCAGACTCCATAGTTCTTTCCCTGGATATGAATAGCATTTTCCACTGTAAGTCTTTTGGAGTTGTCTTAGATCCTTGTATTGCTGTCAAAGTTAGCCATCACATAATGTTACTGTTGCTGTGTATGATGTTCTCCCAGTTCTACTCATTTTACTCAGCATCAGTTCAATATGATATCAGTTTAATATGCACTTTAAAGAAACAAAGTGCATAGAATGGAGGTTTGTGGTTTGATATATAATCCTTGTTTTGTTTTTGCTTGTATTTGTATTTCTTTTTAAAAATTTTATTAATTTATTTTATCAGTAATCACTTCTATATGCTTTTGAGTTTAAAATTTTTCTCCCTCTTCCTCCCTACCACCCTCCCCAAGACAGCACACAATCTGATATAGGCTATACATTTACATTCCTATTAAACATATGTTCACATTAGCGGTGTAAGTAAAAATTAAAACCAATAGGAGGAACCATCAGAAAGAGGAAACAAAACTGAACAGAAGAGGAAAAAATGGCAATTCAACTTCCATAGTTCTTTCTTTGGATGTGGATAGCATTTTCCATCACGAGGTCTCTGGAGATGTTTTCGATCCTTGTATTGCTGGGAAGGGTAAGTTTATCAATATTAGTCATCGCGCAACATGGCTGTTCTCTTGGTTCTGCTCATTTCTCTCAGCATCAGACCATACAAGTCTTTCCAGATTTTTCTGAAGTCAGCCTGTTCATCATTTCTTATTCATTGTATTTGTACACCTTGATGACTAATCAACCCATAATATTTTTTTAAAAAAAAGATTAATGAGTTATTTAAAACCTCCCTTGCTAAACTCTTTGAGGAGCTAGGTATCCCCTGGCCCAAAGCCCTTCCATTTGGTTCCCATAAACTCAGCCCTATGAGATCATAACAGATACCTGATGCCACTCTCCCCATGGGTGGGAAACATAACGGCCAAAGGCTCCCTCTTATAATTCTGCATTGGATTGGCTCAGAAGATATCAGAAATTTACCATAGTCCCATTTTGTTAGAGGAGAAATTAAATGAGTTACAGGAAAAATAGACAGAAAATTTATACTAATGGAGAGACTCAATCTCCTTCTCCAGAACTACATAAATTTAACCATAAAATAAACAAGAAAGAAATTAAGGAGGTGAATAGAATTTTAGAAAAGTTAGATGTGACCTCTGGAGAAGACTGAATAGGCATAGAAAGGAATATACTATTTTTTTGGCGGTACATGGCACGTACACGAAAATTAACCACGTACTAAAGGCATAAAAACCTCACAATCCAATGCAGAAAAGCAAAACTATTAAATACATCTTTTTCAGATCATGATGCAATAACATTACAAGTAATAAAGGGCCATGGAAAAATAGACTGAAAATTAATTGGAAAATAAGTCTAAAAGAATGAGTGGGTCAAACAACAAATCATAGAAACAATCAATAACTTCATCCAAGAGAATGACAATAATGAGACAACATATCAAAATTTTTGAGATGCACTGAAAGTAGTTCTTAGAGGAAGTTTTATATCTCTCAATACTTACGTGAATAAAATGGAGAAAGAAGAGATCGATAAGTTGGTCATGCAACTGAAAAAAAAAACTAGAAAAACAACAAATTAAAAGTCTCCAATTAAGTACCAAATTGGAAATTTTGAAAACCAAAGGAGAGATTAACAAAATTGAAACTAAGAAAACTATTGAACTAATAAATAAAACTATGAGCTGATATCATGAAAAAACCAATAAAATAGATAAACCTTTAGTTAATTTGATTAAAAAAGAGAAAAAGAAGAAAGCCAAATAAATTACCAGTATCAAAAATGAAAAGGGTGAATTCAGAACCAGTGAAGAGGAAATTAAAACAATAACCAGGAACTATTTTTGCCTGTGTGCAAATAAGTTTGACAATCTTCGTGAAGTGGATAGTTACAAAAATATAAATTGCTGGGGCAGCTAGATGGCGCAATAGCTAGAGCACCGGCCCTGTAGTCTGGAGGATATGAATTCAAATGTGGTGTCAAACACATAACACTTACTAGCTGTGTGACCCTGGACAAGTCACCTAACCCCATTGCCTAGCCAATATATATATATGCACATATGTATATGCACATATGTATATGCTCATATACATATACACATACATACATATACACACATACGTGTATGTATGTATGTGTATATATATGTAATACACATACATTGCCAAGATTAATGGAAAAGGAAATAAAATACTTAGCCTCATTTCAGAAAAAGAAATTTACAGGGGAATTCTATCAAATTTTTAAAGAATAGCTAATTCCAATACTATATAAAGTATTTGGGAAAAAAGGTGAAGGAGTCCTAGCAAATTCTTTTCAAGTAATGCCTTTTCTAAGTAAATCCTCAAGTATCAGAGACTTGCTAAACTTGATAGTCTGATATTCATTGTGAGAACTCTCCAACTCTGGTGAGGGAATCTTACTCCTTATCCTGTGTTATGACCTTATTGAAAGAGTTAAAAGCGTTTCATTCAATTTCAGTAATGAATCTAAAACACAGGGGATTGGCCTGAATCAGGTCAAATTCAAAACATGAATACTTTAAGGAAATTAAATTAATTAGAATGTCAATGTATATGTTGAGGACCAAATAATAGCACAAAGAAAATTGATTCTGTTTTATAAATTAGAAATCACAGATGGAAATAGTTTGTGAATCACGTGTGTATATTCTGACCACTAGTTTGTCAGAGTAAGAAAATAATATGTGAAACTGAATCAATTCCACCTTACTTTTTTAAACAAGCTTTTACAAAAAGTCAAGCAGAATAAAGAATGAACTTTCAATGATATTATAACAATTTCTAAAGTAGTTTAAAAATTATGGATTTCAGTTATGTGTATTTCATCCTGTAACTAAGAATGCTTGATTTTTTTTTTAGGTGGTCACTTTTCTTCATACAGTTCTCTTATGTGACAAATTGAACTTTACTACAGCTTTAGTGGTTTGCCCCCTTAATACTGCCCTCAACTGGATAAATGAATTTAAGAAATGGCAAGAGGGATTAGAAGATGACAAAAAACTTAAGGTGCCATAATTTTTTTTAATTTTTAGATTTTTAAAAACAGTATTTAGCATGTATTTTAAATATATATTTTAATACATAATTTAGGATTTTTAATTGAAGGAAATTGAGTAATATTTTACTGAAACATTTTGGTATTAGTATTCTTTAAGATTAAAAATATCTGTTGATATTTGATATGCATTTTACCAAGGTATCTGAATTAGCAACCATGAAAAGCCCTCAAGATCAAAGTATTTTACTACAAAAATGGCAAGACAGTGGTGGTGTCATGGTCATCGGCTACGAAATGTACCGAAATCTTGTACAAGGACGGAATGTGAAGAGTAAAAAATTAAAAACAGTATTTAATAAAACTCTTGTTGATCCAGGTAAAATAATGTATTTAATACTGAAACTTAAAGTCATATTTCGATTTTATATTTTTGCTAATATTTATTGAACATCCAAAGTAGTCTTGGAGAGGAAAGGAAAGGTATAGAAAAGGAAAATTATAAATTTTGAATTGGATAGAACATCAGAAGTCATCTGTGTCAGCACTCATGTTAGAGATATGGAGTATAGCACTTAAGAATAAGAATTAATTTTGCAAAGTGCTTTTTTTCTCATTTAGCTTTCTCAGCAAACTTTTGAAATAGGTGTAATTATTATCTCCATTTAATAATGAAGAAAACTGAGTCTGAGAGAAGTCAAGTGACTTACCCAGGGCCATGGAACTGAGGCAGGATTGAAAGCCAGTTCTTCCTTTATCCAAGTTCCGTGCTCTATCCACTATACCAGATAGGCTTAAGACACTTTTTATTTTCATTATTTCTGTTTATTTCTATTATATGCCAGGTGTAGGGAGAGGTGCTCAGAATATAAAGCTACATATATATTAACATATATATAGTTTCTGCTTTAAGGAGCTTTTATCCTAATTTACATATTATTGGTATTGTATATTCTAATTTACATATTTATCATTTGAATAGATAAATAAGTTCCAGAGGTTAATATTTTCTTTGAGATTCAGAGTCACAACCTGTGCTTTAGGAAAGTCCCTTTGACAAATTTGTGGAGGATAAATTGTAACACTAAGAGATTTGTGGCTGGAAAACCAATTAGAAACTATTAGTATAGTTCAGAGAAAAATCAGCAGGAATGACTTTGTCCTCACTTGAAAGAAGAAGTTCAGAGAAAAGGAAAACTGTCATTTGTTGGCATAGGTATGAAATAAAACTGGTCTTCACTTGATAACTAAGCAGGTGATATGAAAAGGTCTCACAAAATATCAATACAAACATGGAAAGTGTTTGTAATTAATAATAAAATTTGTGAAAAATAGTTTAAAAAGTCAGTGGTGGTGATGCTATGTAAATTCATATACACTTTATACTAATAGTATATGTGTAAATTGGTCCAGCAGTTCAGGAACATAATTTGGAATTGTGTACAATAGAAAAGTTTCTGAATTTTTAATGCTGCTTGACCCAGTTATGTGCTCCCAAGGAAGTCAGAGACAGAAAGAAAAACATACATTCCACAATATTAATATCAACACCTGTTGTATTGGGGGGGAGGGGGAAGACAGCAAAACAAAAAGCCATTAGTTAATATTTGGAGACTGTTTCAGCCAGTTGTGATTTTTGAATGAATTGGAATATTTTACAATAATTTATATTTTTACAGTAATTGATGTATAAATATATACTATATTTTACAATATAAAAAAAATTGAAGAATTCAGAGAATGGAACAGATGGTATGCCAACTAATTGGCAAAGTAAATAGAACCAGTAAAATAATCTGTCCATTGCTATAAATAAGTAAATGCAAAGTGCAATGACAGATACTGATTCAAGTGGACAAATGATGAGACAGGCACATATCCTTCCTCTATGTAGAGAGGTGGGGATTAAGGAAAAGAATACTCATATGATAGATGATTTTGCAATTTTTTCTGTTTCCAGGCATGATTTTTTGTGGATGATTGAATAGATCAGAAAATGTGGTACAAAAATTAAAAGATACCTTTAAAAAATAAAACAAACAAACTTTAAATGACATGTTCTCGGTTAGATAATGCATAAGCCTTAGTTAAGATATCCCTTACTTTTAATCCATTGATATTTCTGCTCATTTGGCAAATGTGGCTCTCTAGCATAGCTTTTCAATATTTAAGCATTGCTCCATTGTGCAGTTGATCTTAGATAAGCATTAGTTGATACAAATTTTGTGAGAGTTAAATAATAGTAAAAAATTTTTTGGTAGGCCCGGATTTTGTTGTGTGTGATGAAGGTCATATACTAAAAAATGAAGCTTCAGCTGTATCCAAAGCTATGAATTTGATTCGTTCAAAAAGACGAATTATTTTAACAGGAACACCTCTACAAAATAATCTAATTGAATGTAAGTTACTGTCCTCTTTTGAGTTATTTTGAGCTATTTTTTCAGCATGGATATGATTTATGTTCCTAATCTCTTTACCTACAGTCTTTTTAGATTTTTTTTCTTTTATTTATTAACTTGTCTGAATTATTTCAGTTATTATAACATTTATTTCTGTTAAAATTTGTGTTAAATTATGTCTTTGTGTTTTAAAAATATTACTAAAGTTTTACTTATCATTAAATTTTCTGAACTATTTCTAAAAAATGTGCTTACCAACATCTTCAAATATAGTTGGATTGTTAAATAATTATTTGGCAAGTGCTAATCGAATTATCACATTTCATCAGATCTCATTTATTTAAAAAAACTTTGTTCATCATTATTGCATTAATGATATAAAATTGGTTGAATAAAATGTGATATATTTGCAATGACAATTTATTTTTCTTCTCTTAGATCACTGTATGGTTAATTTTGTCAAAGAGAATCTACTTGGTTCTATTACGGATTTTAGGAATCGATTCATAAATCCAATTCAAAATGGCCAGTGTGCAGATTCCACCACGACAAATGTTCAAGTAATGAAAAAGCATGACCATATTCTCTATGAAATGTTAGCTGGCTGTGTTCAGGTAGATGTAAAATATACATTCATCTATACTCAGTCAGTTTTAGTTGAAAACTCTGTAATTTTGCTTGAAACCTCTTCATGATATGTTGTTACATTTGAAGTATAAAGTAAGAAAGGCAAAGGTCCAAGCATGATCAATTTATTAGACTAGCAGTAACAGTGAGTTGAATCAGTTGCTTCTCTCAGTGACAAAGACCCCAAGGTAATTAGTTAGTTTTGGGAAATTCAAGAGAACAAAGGACATAGTTGGATAGGTAAGGAAAGATAGTTAGGGTAGATAGTCATAGGTGTTGGGACAGCATGATTGGTTACATCAAGGAAACTGGTGCTAGTAACTCCTCTCAGCATATTGTAGACATTGTGAGTGGACCTGAATTAGCAGATTCTCCAGAAAGATTTGTTAGGAAGATAATGGTTTTCCTTGGTGGTGCAGAGACACTTCAGGGGCACTGTATCTCTTAGAACTTCCTTCAAGACAACTTGGTTCAAGATAACACCTGATGTTTTAGTATTTTCCTAGTTTTCCCATTAATTGTAACTTTAATCTGAGAGGGAAAGTTGAGTTCTCAGGCTCAATTCAAGGACAAAGAAAGGTGGCTAGATATGTAATTGATAAATGAATAATAATCTCTTATACAATATATCCTACTTTTGGTTGGAGAAAAGTTATTTTTACCAAAATTTTTGGCACTGTCAGATTGTTAAACATTAGAAACTGACAAGTTTTTTTTTTATCAGTAGAAAGACATTAAAGAATAGGCATTGCCATCTGTTTTCCTGTTGCACCCTAAGGACTGTGGGACTTTTCAATCTGACTTGGAACTGAAGTCTTACACACACACACACACACACACACACTATATGTATATATACATATAGTGTGTGTGTGTGTGTGTATGTAATATCTATTTGTATCCCTAGTGCTTTGCACATATGGCAAGTATTTAACAAATATGTCCATTCATTCAATTATTCATCACCTTGAACCTGTAAACTTCAGGAGTTCAAACACCATCTGTCCTGCCCAAGCAACCCAGGGGTGAGAACAGAAGTGGAAAAGGACACAGAAGACCATGTAGCTCTCTGAATTTTGATCAAGGAGCTGGATGGATGAAGGGAGGAATAAAAAACTAGGCTTCTTAGCCACCCAGTACCCTGATCCAGGACAGCCTGCTACATCTTAAGAGTAGACACACCAAGTGAAAGAGAAGCAACATCAGATAGTCAAGTTAACAAGCATTTATTAAGCACTTTCCATGTGTCAGGTATTGTATTGTGGAGACACATAGCCACCATCCCAAAATCAAGAAATTGCCATTCTAACAAGGAAACTATATTTGAGATATATAACAATGTAAAAAAGGGAATAATTTCAAAAAGGAAGGTATTAGTAGTGGGGGATGGAGAGCGAAGGAGGAGAGACCAGGAAAGGCTTCAGGTAGTAGATGGAATTTGAGGTAAGACTTAAAATTAAGTCAAAATTTTATTTATATGTTTGTAAATATCCATGTACTGCATTTAAGTTGTCAATTGTGTTAGTATTTATCAGTCAGACTTTTCCTGACCCCATAGAATATGGCCTTCTGTCATCCATTATCTCTCAAACTCTATCCAAGTTTATGTTCGTTGTTTGCATGGCACTATTCTAACCAGCTTCAGTATTTGGCCTTCCAGTGAATAGCCAGAATTAGTTAATTTAAGTACTGAATGATTTGGTTTCCTTGTTGTCCAAGGGACTCTGGAAAGTCTTCTCCAGTACCAAATCTGAAAGTGTTGATTTTGTGGAGCACAGCTTTCTTTATAGTTCCAATTCTCCATTGCTCCTGGAAAAACCATAGTTTTCACTATATGGAAGGGTCAGCAGGGTAATGCCTCTGCTTTTCAGCCTGCTGCCTAGATGTGCCTTTCTTTCCAAGGAGCAGTCTCTTTTAATTTCATGGCTGATGTCACCATGTGCAGAGATTTAGCCCAAGACCATAAAATCTGACACTACTTCCATTTATTCTCCCTCTATTTGTCAGGAAGTGATGGCCAAGCAATCAAGATTGTAGTTTTGTTTTGTTTTTTATTTTACATTTCAGGACATAGGTCAGAATAGTTAGTTTCCAGTAATTTCCTTTATTCATTTTTTTTCTGAAAAACCTCATTTTTTTTTCATAGTAAAAATTTGGGGCCCCTCTCTTTTTAGATCAAACTAGCTCATGACTTGAAAAAGCCTCACTTCAATTAAAGTCCATTTTTCTCCCATAGAATCATATTCAGCTTTGCAGGGTAGATCATGTAAGACTGTATCTTTTGCCTTTTAGGTATTCCATGTTTTCTCACAAAATTTCTATCAGTAGCTGCCAGATCTTGTGGAATCATAAGTAGTGTGTGAACTGGTTCTTTCTGGATGAAGCATTTTTTGTTTGACATGGACTTTATGAATTTTGGCATTTGTGAGATTTTCTGTTTGAGATTACTTTCAGGAAATGATTGGAGTATTCTTTTTCTCTTTACTTTGCTCTCTTGTTCTAATAGATTAGGGTAGTTTTACTCATGGTTTCTCAAATTATAGTATGTTGATCTTTTTTTTTTTGTTATGGTTTTTAGGGAGTTGAATGAGTCTTAAATTATTTTTCCTTGGCCCATTTTCTATTTTACTAGTTTTTTACATCAGAATCTTAGATTTCTTTTTTTTCCCTCAATGCTCTTGTAAATTCAGTTACCATTCTTTCCTCCAGGCCTTTTAGTCAAAAGACTCTTTCCTTATTTAACCCAGGTAATTCATGCTAGATAGTTGGAACTCCATTGAATATTTTTGTAATCATTATGACTAATTTGCTTATTTATTGTGGGCATCTCTAGTTTTTATGTACATACACATACATATATATGTATATTTATGCTGATGAAAGCTTTCTTTGATTTACTCATCTCTCTAGCTTTGGACATTTTATACCTTCTGCTGTACTTTTGATTGGGATGGTTAGTCTCAGAGTAATAATTTTTAAAGTTTCTTTATCTCAGTTAAGGACCTTGGCTCCCTTGGACTTGAAATCAAATTCACCCTTGAATTCTTACTACCTTGGACTCTTAGAAAGTTACTTCACCTCTGTTTGCCTTTGTTTCCTCAGTAGTAAAATGTGCTTACAGGCTTGTTGTGAGGATCAAAGGAGATAATATATGTAGAGTGCTTAGTGCTTTAGGCTTGGCATATAGTATAAACGTTAGAGATTTATTACTCTCTGTTGCAGCTAAAATCCCATCTTCTATAGGAAATCTTTTCCAATTCTCAATTATGTTGCCTTTCCTCTTTGAATAATTTCCATATTTATTGTGTACATTTCTGGTTTTGACAATATTGTTAGCTTCTTTTTTCTTTCTTAGATTGTGAACTCTTTAAGGGCAGGGACTGTTATTTTGCCTCTTTGTTGTAGACCCAGCACATTGCCTGCCACATGATGGACTCTTAATAAATGTTTGTTGACCGACTGACAGACTGACCATCTTATGACTTTCTAAAACACAAAACCATGTGGACAGCCTCTGCAAAAGAATCCCTATAGAAAAAAGCAGCCTAGCACTGTTGTAGGTACCACAACATTGACTACTAAATACTAAAAGCCACCCAGTCTGAAATCTATCAGTTTTGTTGATGTGAAAAGTGAAGGCAGAGAACCATTTGGGGAGTCAAAATTTGGTATGTCTTCATGAGAAATTTTAAATACAGATAATATAATAAATTTATGAAATGCAAGATAATAGAAAATGAAGAACTATGTGTATGGTGAAAATTAGGTCAGAAGGGACCATTTGTTGGATAGTGAAAAAAGAATTTATTTTCACTGGACTCAGGTTGTTTTTTTTTTTATTAGTACAGAAAAGATCATTTTTAAAAGTTAAATCTAAGAGAACCAGTGATTGATTATGTTAAAGAGATTATAAGCTTGAGAGTTAGGCTATTTTGGAGTTTGGAATATACCTGAATTAATTACTAGTATGAGAGCATAATTTATTTTCATTTCTTTATCTTACAGAGGAAAGATTGCACAACATTAGCAGAGTTTTTACCACCCAAACATGAGTATGTATTAGCAGTAAGAATGACTTCTATTCAGTGCAAGCTTTACCAGTACTATTTGGATCACTTAACAGGTAAAAAAAAAATTAATTTGTGTGATTATTCTTTCATGTTAATTTATAAGGGTTTATTTGTTCCTCAAATAAAAGTGTTATTTAAAAAATTTGGAGACTTCCCCTTCCGGAGCCAAGATGGTGGAGTGAAAAGGTAGTCTCTCTCACTCTCCCCTATCAACCTCTGAAAACCCAGAAAATATCACCCCAGAAAAAAACCCTGGAACACCTGAACTAGAAGAAAGACAGGGAGCAGCAGTGCAGCAGCCCAAAATGGGTCTCCCAGTGCCTCAGCAAAAATAAGGGAGGCAAACTACAAGGGGCCCCAGGCACATAAGTACCCTGCACATTCATCTGAAAGGAGGTGAAGAAAACAACTAAAGGCTTCCTAAAGCCCCCTTGCTGATTCCAACCCCCAGGTGAGCTAGGAGCCCTGAGCCTCCAATTGTGAAGAAATCCTGAAGCCCAGGTGGTAGAGCAGGCAAACACCAACACCTGGACCTCCGAGTGCCTCAGTGAGGGTGGGGGGAACCGGTGGAAACCAGCTCAGAAAACCACCAGGTGCCTGGCACTCCACCAAAGGAATCTCCCAGTGCATTAGCAGAAATGAGGGAGACAACACTGCAGGGGGCCCCAGGCAGATAAACACCCTGCAGCACCCATCTAAAAGGAGCGGAAGAAAGCTAAAGGGAAAGGAAAGGAGGCAACCTAGAATTGCCTGAAAGTTCCAGCCTTGCTGATTCCAGCCCAACACAGGTAAGCTGCCAGAAACCTACAGCCTCCAATTGCCAGCATAAGAGGCCCCAGCAAAGCCAGTGACCAAGACCTAGGCTCCCAACACAAGAAGCTTGGGTCAGTACCCTCTGTTCCCCAGCAGGAGAGCTCAATCTCTTTAAAGGCCAGGGAATAAAGAAACACCATGAGTAAAAAGAAATGTACCATAGATTCATATTATGAGAAGAGTGAAGATCAAGACAGAAATTCTGAAGAGGACAACATTGTCAACAAACCCACATCTGCAACAACAAAAGGGAATATGAACTGGTCTGAAGCCCAAAAAGCCTTCTTAGAAGAGCTCAAGAAGGATTTTAATAGTCAAATGAGAGAGGTAGAAGAGTCCTTCAAAAATACAATTGGCCAATTGGAAAAAAAATACACTGAAGAAAACAAGTCCCTAAAAACACAATTGGTTGAAGACAAAAACTAAGAAGAGTATACTGAAGAAACAAGTCCCTAAAAAACACAATTGGCCAGTTGAAGAAGGAAGTACAAAAACTAACAGAAGAAAACAATCTGTTAAAAACTAGAATTGGACAAATGGAAACTAATGTCTCTATGAGAGAGCAAGAATCAGTCAAACAGAAACAAAAAAATGAAAAATAGATGAAAATGTAAAATACCTCATCAGTAAAACAACCGACCTGGAAAATCGACTCAGGAGAGACAATTTAAAAATTATTGGACTACCTGAAAATCATGATGAAAAAAGAGCCTGGACAGTATCTTTCAGGAAATCATAAAGGAAAACTGCCCGAAGTCCTAGAACCAGAAGGGAAAATAACCATAGAAAGAATCCACGATCACCACCTGAAAGAGATCCCAAATTGACAACAAGGAATATAATAGCAAAATTCCAAAATTACCAGATGAAAGAGAAGGTGCTGCAAGCAGCCAGAAAGAAAGAATTTAAATATTGGAATCAGGATTACACAGGACCTTGCAGCTTCTACATTAAAAGACGCAGGGCATGGAACATGATATTCCTAAGGCAAAGGAGCTTGGAATGCAGCCAAGGATCAATTACCCAGCAAAAATGAGCATCATTTTTCAAGGGAGGAGGTGGATATTCAACGAAATAGGAGACTTCCAAACTTTCCTGATAAAAAGACCAGAGCTCAACAAAAAATTTGATCTTCAAGTACAGGACTCAAGAAGGACTTAAAAAGGTAAATGGACAGAAGGATACATTATGTTGTTAATGGGGGGGTGTTTAATATGAGACTTGCAACCCTTGAGAACTGTATTGTTATTACACCTTGTTAAAGGAGTATACATGAAAAGGGTGGATATTAGTTGACTTTGATGTAATGATAAAAAAAAATCTAATCAAGTGGGTTAAATGGATCCAAATAAGTGGATCAATCTGATCTTAGAAAATGTACTGAGAAAGGAGGAGGCAGACAAGGGTAAATTACATTACAGGAAAAGACACAAAATCCTATTAGCAGAGGGAAAGAAGGGAGGGGGGAGCATTGTTTGAACCTTACTCTCATCAGATTTGGCTCAAGAAGGGCATAATATAATCAGTTAGGTATAGAAATCTAACTTGCCCTATAGGCAGTAGGAGGGAAAAGGGGAAAGAAAAGGGAGGGGGGAAAGAAGGGAGGGAAGAAGCAGTAAGACTAAAGGGGAAGAAAAGGGAAAGGGATAATAAAAGGGGGAGGGACTGAAGGAGGCGGTGGTCAAAAGCAAAACACTAGTGAAGGGGGAAAGGAAAAAGGAGAAAGAAAAGCATAAATAGGGGGAAAAAGGATGGAGAAAAAGACACAGATAGTAATCATAACTGTGAATGTGAATGGGATGAACTCTCCCATAAAAAGGAAACAGATTGCAGAATGGATTAAAAACCATAATCCTACAATATGTTGTTTACAGGAAACACATTTGAAAAAGAGTGACACATACAGGGTAAAGGTAAAAGGCTGGAGCAGAATATATTATGCGTCAGCTGAAGTAAAAAAAAAAAAAGCAGGGGTAGCAATCCTGATCTCAGACAAAGCAAAAGCAAAAATAGATCTAATCAAAAGAGATAAGGAAGAAAACTACATCCTGCTAAAAGGCACCATAGGAAATAATATCATTACTAAATATATGCACCAAATGGTATAGCATCCAAATTCTTAGAGGAGAAGTTCAGGGAGTTACAGGAAGAAATAGACAGCAAAACTATACTAGTGGGGGACCTGAACCTCCCCTCTCGGCACTAGATAAGTCTAACCACAAAATAAACAAAAGAAGTTAAGGAGGTGAATAGAACATTAGAAAAGTTAGGTATGATAGACCTCTGGAGAAAACTGAATGGGGATAGAAAGGAATATACTTTTTCTCGGCAGTACATGGCACATACACAAAAATTGACCATGTACTAGGGCATAAAAACCTCACAATCCAATGCAGAAAGGCAGAAATATTAAATGCATCCTTTTCAGATCATGATGCAATAAAAATTATATGTAATAAAGGGCCATGGAAAGATAGACTAAAAAAAATTGGAAACTAAATAATCTAATCCTAAAAAATGATTGGGTCAAACAACAAATCATAGAAACAATCAATAATTTCATTCAAGAGAATGACAATAATGAGACAACATACCAAAACCTATGGGATGCAGTGAAAGCAGTTCTTAGGGGAAGTTTTATATCTCTAAATGCTTACATAAATAAAATAGAAAAAGAGGAGATTAATGAATTGGGCATACAACTAAAAAAACTAGAAAAAGAACAAATTAAAAATCCAACTAAACACCAAATTAGGAAAACCAAAGGAAAAATTAATAAAATTGAAATTAAGAAAACTATTGAACTAATAAATAAAACTAAGAGCTGGTTTTATGAAAAAAACAATAAAATAGATAAGCCTTTGGTTAATTTAATTAAAAAAAAAAGAAGAAAACCAAATTACTAGTATCAAGAATGAAAAGGGTGAAGCTACCACCAAGGAAGAGGAAATTAAAACAATAATTAGGAATTATTTTGCCCAACTATATGCCAACAAATTTGACAATCTTAGTGAAATGGATACATATTTACAAAAATATAAATTGCCCAGATTAACCGAAGAGGAAGTAAAATACTTAAATAACCCATCTCAGAAAAAGAAATTGAACAAGCCATTGATGAACTCCCTAGGAAAAAATCTCCAGGGCCAGATGGATTTACATGCGAATTCTATCAAACATTTAAAGAACAATTAATTCCAATACTATATACTATTTGGGAAAATAGGTGAAGAAGGAGTCTTACCAAATTCTTTTTATGATACAAATATGGTGTTGATACCTAAACCAGGAAGAGTCAAAATAGAGAAAGAAAATTATAGACCAATTTCTCTAATGAATATAGATGCAAAAATTTTAAACAAAATACTCAAGTAGATTGCAGCAACTTATCACAAGAATAATACACTATGACCAGGTAGGATTTATACCAGGAATGCAGGGTTGGTTCAATATTAGGAAAACTATCAGCATCATTGAGCATATCAACACCAAAACCAACAGAAACCACATGATCATCTCAATAGATGCAGAAAAAGCTTTTGATAAAATACAACACCCATTCCTATTAAAAACACTGGAAAGCATAGGTATAAATGCAGTCTTCCTTAAAATAATAGCATTATCTAAAACCTTCAGCAAGCATTACATGTAAAGGGGACAGGCTAGAAGTATTTCCAATAAGATCGGGGGTGAAACAAGGATGTCCATTATCACCACTGTCATCCAATATTGTACTGGAAACCTTAGCTTTAGCAATAAGAGAAGAAAAAGAAATTGAAGGCATTAGAATAGGCAAAGAAGAAAGAAAGCTATCACTCTTTGCAGATGACATGATGATATACTTAGAGAATGCTAGAGAATCAAGTAAAAAACTACTTGAAATAATAAACAACTTTAGCAAAGTTGCAGGCTATAAAATAAACCCACGTAAATCATCAGCATTTCTATATATTACCAACAAAGCCCAACAGCAAGAGATAGAAAGAGAAATCCCATTTAAACTTACTGTAGACATTATAAAATATTTAGGAGTCTACCTACCAAAACAAACCCAGGAACTCTATGAACACAATTACAAAACACTTTTCACACAAATAAAATCAGATCTAAATAATTGGAAAAACATCAGTTGCTCATGAGTAGGCTGAGCTAATATAATAAAAATGACAATCCTACCTAAGCTAATTTACTTTTTCAGTGCCATACCAATCAAACTACCAAGAAATTATTTTATAGAGTT